TCACCAGAGCGGATGCACCGTGGCTGGTGAGCACCTCCACGCACTCCGTGGAGCCTCTCTCCGTGGCAAGGTACAGCGCTGTCCGCCCCTTGTGGTCCCGCACGTCGAGGTTCACGAGGGTTTCGGCAAGTGTCTTTAGGGCTTCACAGTGACCATTATAGGCCTGGGGGCAAAGCAGACCACGTTAAAGCGGTGCCTGGAGAGGCTGCACCCAGAAGAGAAGCGTCCCCCCCCAGGACAATTCCTGCTCCCTGGGTCCCTCCAGCCGGATGAGCTCCTGCCCGGCCATTGCCTCCCGTTTGCAGCCCGGTCCCACGCAAAGCCCTCGCCCACTCCTGCCCCTGCCCACTCGCAGACAAGGGAGGTGGCTCCAAACAGCCAGAAGGCCCTGGAGAGAGCACGGAGTTTAACACACAAATCAACGGGACTTCGACCGACGGCCTGCGGGGAAAGCCGCTCCCCAGCCACCGGTGCCCTTCCTCCTTTGCCCCACTCAGCACCGCCAGCTGCGGGGACCCAGCCCATGCTGCACGGGAGCAGGCACCTCTCCAGGACTCAGCGTGAGCCCCGCACGGAGCCAACTGCCCGCCGCAACCCTGGGGTTGGGCCAGCCGTACTTACAGCTAAGTGCAAAGGGCTGACTGGAATGGTGCTTTCCACATCCTCCAGGCAGTTAAAAGACATTTCCAGGAGCTGCAACAGCAACAACACAAAACCGTAACTGATGCTGGACTCACGGAGGCTTTGGCAGACACCCTGTCCACCAGCAGGCTGCAGAGGGGTTAGAAAACCTGCTCATCTGCTTCAGAACGATCTGAATCTCAGGACAGGACCATCCTTAACCTGGCTTTAGACCCTGCATAGACAGTCACATCAAGTCCCTGCTATCCCAAAGCCTCGCCACTGCTCGTACGATTTCCTACGCCCACACGGCTGCAAGCTTACCCTGCAACAATGCAGGTGTTTCAGACAGTTACAAGGCATTTTCTGTGCTGCGAGAGCTCTTCCTTGGCACAGGTCTCCAGGCTTTCTTCTAAAAACCCAACCTTGTTCTATTGCCGGGGGTTTAAGCAAGACATCCATACGTCCCCCCTGTGTGCCGGGTAACAAAGCTCCTTTCTTCCAGGCATCTCACTCGGGCGCAGGTCTTCCCTCCGTGGTATTCCCAGCACAACGGTTCCCCAAGAGTCCCCATGCTTTTTAATCAAACCCACCTCCCTTCCTCCTGGACAAACCCTGACACTGTAGTGCCTACACCACACACAGCCCTTTAGCCACACCTGGACACCACAGGGCTTGGCACGTTCCTTAGGGGCGGCTTCCCCCTTCTCCTGGCAGCACAGAGGGTTTTCTCCAGCTCACTCACCAGTTCGAGGTTCTGCCTGTTGCCGTACGCAGCTGCATAGTGGACAGCGGTATATCCCTGCTTGTCCCGGAGGGATGGGTCAGCACCATTATCCAGCAAGAACTCTAAACAACTGCAACGAGCAAGAGAAAGGGGAGATCGTGAAAAAGGCGAGATCGGAGAGGCAGAGCTTTGCAGGAACCTCCCTGATTTATCTCAGAGCAGATGCTGTACTAATCCCCGCAAGACACGGAGCGCATGCAAAGCCCACTGAAAGTGAGGACCAGGAAGCCATGGCCAGGTTTGCCTCGAGAATCAAATCAGCAGATGTTTCCTCCAAGGCATCACCGCTCAGTTCAGCGTAAGCAGAAGCAAGGTATTTCTAGCAACTGCACGCCGGGGTCCGGGGAAGGGGTAAACAACAACCAACGGCCAGAGGGGCTGCGGCACGGACTCACAAGAATGCCTCCTTCAGCCTGGACTCCTTCAGGGGCTCCTCATCAGTGTCATGGCTGTTTCCTGAAGGAGTCTCTGCTCTGAAAGGTCAGAGACCTGCATCAGTTTGCTGAGCACCCCCTCCCACCCACGCCCCTCAAAGCGCTCCCGTCTTCACAAACCGCTGAGCGCCAGCTGCAGGGAGGTGGCCAGGGAACAGCAGAGCATCACCACCCAGCAGCGTGCCATCGTCTCCAGCCCCCGCA